AAAAATTATTGTTAATATTTTTTATAGGTACGTCCCAATGAGAAGATGACACGTGCCAAATTTCAAATTAAAAAAATTTGTATTAAAAAAACTAAAAAAAATACTTTGAGATGTCGGATCTAAAAATTAAACGGTGAGTGACTCTCTCAGATAAAAAAAAATAGACGGCTGGATAGTAGGAGGATGGAACTTCCATGTAAAAAGAATATAAAAAGCTTTCCCAGCAAATATTAGTAACTTTTCATGAATTAGCACCACGCGGCATTCATGCAACAAAATTATTTTCCTTTTACTTACTTTTATGTCGTTTAAATCACGGCATCTATGAGTTGTTACGCTGCAAAAGTCTCACAAAAAGTTTAATAAAAAGGTCGCGTTCACAGCTAGCGCGTGACCGCAGCAGCGTCGGTCACGAGGCCCACCACCCTTAATTTTACCCTTTTTTCAATTAATATGTCATAAATCCTTTCTTAATATTTGAATAAACGCCTAAACGAAATTCATTGATTTTTTGCGAAATTTAAGTTGAGAATATCTTCTTTTTTCGCGAAATTAATGTTGTAAATATCCGCGCGAAATTTAAGCTGAAAATATCTTCCACTCTTCATGAAATTAATGCGGTAAATATCGGCGACCAAAAACTTGACCGAGATATCATTTATAAATAAATGGACGAGATTTTGGGCGCATTATTTTCCAATTGTAGAGGGAAATGTCCGCCAATTTTGGGATAATTTCTCTCGCCAGCTTGGCAACATCTGAAATTTCGGCCATTCAACTGATTCACACCACTTTGGCCAGGTTTCTCGGATGGGCTTGATGGAAATTATGTAGTAGTTTGACTAAATTTTACTAAATAGAAGTTAAAATAAAAATGCTTGGATAGGGCTACAGTCCTGTCAAACTAAGTAGTTCTAAAAAATTATAGTTTTGGTTGCCTTAGCTACGTGGTTGTGAAAAACATTAAGATCTCATACCATAAATTACTGTATATTGTAACATATTATATAAATCATCTATTTTATTTTGAAATAAGTGTTTACGGATCCGCATGATCTGTATTATTTTTCTTTAAGTTCATAGTTAATGTTAAAAAATTTATTTTAAAGCTATCATGAATATATGTTTTTATGCTGAAAGGACTTTCTGGACGAGGATTTAAGTGAGGTGTTACTTTGTTTTTATAAAGCCTAGGCCTATAGAAACGGCATACTATGTTTAGAGGAAAAAAACAAGAAGGTAAACTATAAAGGAAAGAGACTTTTTAAAGAAAATATCGAGCTCACATTCACATTCTCTTTTCAGTATTCTTTTTCGAGAGAGAGAGAGAGGGGGGAATATGGAAGTGAAGTGCATGGTGTGGAGAGAGAATATTACTTGAAGCACACCACTGAGTAGGAGAGCACGCGTAGCCCGCACATGTAAAAAGACATTGAATTTGAAACACCTATTCTTTTTCCTTCAAATAATGCTTAAAAACAGAACCATGCCTCTTTCTCTCTCTAAAAAGCAAGCATGCACGCCTCTCTGACCTCGCTCTTTCTCTCTCTAAAAAACTGGCATGCACGCCTCTCTCTGACCTCGCCTCTTTTCCAACAAACAATGCTCAAAATACAAGCATGCACGATTTCTTTTCTCTTAAATGTGATCTCTCTTTCTCTCTCTAAAACAATGCTAAAAAATATAAAGCGATCCAAACAAATCCCCTCAGTGTATCATTATTAACCCAGCTTAAAATTCGCCGCATTTTAACATTTATACCTAATCCTATTTCAGAGGAAATTACAAAAAAAAACCCAAGAATAGACTTTCGGTGAAACTTAACCCAATCAAACTATTTTTCCCACTTTTTAGTTTTAAACCATTCACGTGGGCTTACCGACACTACCAAAAGCTAGATGGGCTGCCGGACCGTGGGCTTACGTACAGTACCAAATGATAGATGGGTTGCCGGACCACCAAGTATTAATTGCCTGACCACATTAAACTAAACTACAAAAAGTGCCAAATAGCCTTCATTATATATCGGACTAGCCTTCAGTATACGTCGGACCGCATATATAGATATATCGGACCACATATATAAGAGTGTCGGACTGTCACATATATTTGTCGAGGAGTTCCTAGACCACAATATACATTTGTTAGACCAGATGTTTATCCAGGAAGAATAGTATTGGTATTTGTTAAGTATATTTTAACGTAAAAAGTGGAAAAATAATTAGAAAACTTGCATAAAACCCCTCAAAATGGACTAAAAACCATGTTTCTAAACAATGCCTAATAAAAAAAATTCATTTTTTTTTTGACGAAAATATCATTTCTTTGCTTAACAAATCATTTTGGTTAAATCCATTTTTTTTTTTACGAAAATATCATTCCATTGCTTAACAAATCATTTTCGTTGGAGAGAGCACTCAGGCATTTGGAAGAGGTAGTCCGAAGATCATTTTGATGGAATGGGCAGTGTCGCATTTCATTGTGGCAGTACGGGGATTGAAGAAATGGGCAGTCGGCATTTTGAAAAAGCAGTCGTGGTGTTTTGGAGTAGCGGTACGACATTTTGAAAGGGTAATCCCATGCTTTAAAGTGGCGATCTAGTATTTTGAAATAAGCAGGCGGTCGTTGTACAAGTACGGCATTTCCTTTTATTGGGATCTGAAATGATTTGTTATGTACGGGAAGCGTAAAAAAAAAAAACAAATATTAGGGATATTTGTTAGGAAACATGGTTTTTAGGGAAGTTAAAAAAAAAAAAAAGTAAAAAATAAATTAAGTGGGTAAATTGATTAGAAAGCCTGTTTTGGAGAAATTTATGCAATTTTTCCAAAATAATTGGGTTGGGTAAGTTACACAAGAAATCTATTTTGGGAGTCATTTATAATTTGCCCATTATTATTTTATCTTTGCTGTGCTCTCACGCTTGCTTCCAAACAGAATGAGACAACGGTCATCCGGTGTTTGACGGACCTCTTGAACCCCAATGCGGTTTGTTACATCCGTACCACTAAGTATCAAACAAATACGCCTCCTCATCTTCATTCAGTATGACACTAACACCCCCACAAAGTTTATGTACAGAAATAAAAAACATTTATATAAGTAGCAACCTTAAACTGTGTAACTAAGGTAGAAATAAAAAAAGTTTATATAAAGTGGCAACCTTATATAAAGTGTGGAATTAAAGTGCACATTAGAAATCTATAGGAAAATGCTATTTTAATGCAGAAGAATCCTCTATTTGATCATCTCAACATTTTAAAAAATAGTGTAACTTGCAACGTATTATCTGTACCGTCTATTTTTATGTGTTTATAGATCTATTTGATTTAAATTACTTTTGGAGTTTAAAATTTTATAACTAAAAATAAAAATAGATTCTATGGATCAGGATTCGTGTAACCAACTCCAAATAATTGAACAAACTCTTATTTGGTGGAAAAAAACTTCAATGATGGTGATAGACAAAAATATATTCTTAGGCCATTCTAAGAATTATAAAATTTAAAAGTATGCCTTACTTTGTTTAAGGTTGCAACCTTGTACAAACTATACCCAAAATGAATAGTATATGTAAATTTGTCTTCAATATTTAATCCTGAAAAAAAAAACGAACCATCAAATTGCATGAATACCATCATTCCATTTCCATGATAAAGCAAAACTAATCTACTCTCTAATCTCTCTCCGTAGTTTTGTTTCTTTATTCTTGCCAAAAACCAGGAAATAAAACAGTTTGACAAGATAAATTTGCAAAGTTTGGTCTTGATTCATAGCTTCTCAGTGCTTTCTCAACGCAACCAAAGAGAGAAATTTTCCATATCAGCAAAACTTTTTATTTTATCTCATTGAAATATTTTGTTGCCATATTAGCAAAAAATTCCATTTTATCTCATTGGAAAAATTTTAAACCAAATAGAAAAAATTGATATGAGAAAAGCTATTTCTCATTCCAACCAAATTTATCTAATTTATTAAATGACAAAACTCGAATTAGTATATTTTCAGACATGCAAAAAAATATTGTTACATAAAATTGAGATTTGCTTTTGTCCAAATTATAGATTTTCGGATAATTAGCCCTCCTTGAAAATGCGCATATGATCTTACCTAAATATCAAATACTCGCCCGTCATTCCCTGTTTCAGATTTTTGTGGTACGTTTTTTTCCGTTTCCTTTCATCACAGTTTGGTAAACGTTTATATGGAGCCGAGGCTCTAAACAATCAAATTACAGCCTACCTCAAAGGTTTCATTAGAAGAGATTATTTTGATGCTCAAATTGATCATCTTGACATCAAGATGTATAGACATGAGAAAAAAATGGATTTCAATTTTTTGAAATACTGTATTTTGTAATGCATTGTTTGGACCGTCAATTTTCGAATATTTTCAAGTTTTTATAAATCAATCCATCTACACTATTTTTAAAGCTTTAAACTTTATAAATAAAAATAAAAATATATTTTAAGGCAATTACAAATATTTCAAGTGTTAAACCACATTTCTCAATACTATTTGAAGGTAGGCTCTAATTTGATTGTTTAGACCCTAAGCTCTATACAAACAACATATATATTATATGAGTAATAATTATATGAGACCCTTCCATATCCATGTGTGCAGGATCTCAAAGGATTGCCATTAAATTTGGTATAGATTTAGATCTGTGTTAAGTTTAATGGTGATCTTTAAAAGCCTTATACACGTATAGATGATCTTCCGCACATGGGTGAAGGAGGGTTTGGTAGGATCATTACTCATATTATATATAACCGTTAAAGACCTTGTAAACTATTCAAAAGCATAGAGGGTATTTATGAAATTTATCAAGGCTAAGTGTATAACGGTTAGTACTTTAGCCGAGCCTGTCTTTATTTATGGGAAGATCATGGCCGTTGATACTTGTTCTGATCTGGATTTAATTTAGATTTAATTTTTCATAGTTTTATTATATTATCTAATCCCGTAGAACTAAGCCGGCAATAGGTACCCTTTTCTATATTTTGAAAAGCATTCGATAACAGGAGTCTTTAGAACGGTTTCTCCCGAGGAATGAGACGGATTCCAGGGATTCTCTCTCATTTTCAACTCAAATCCTCTATAAATTTGCTTCTCTGACTCAGATTTTCTCTCTCTTCATTTTCTGTCTCTACAAACCTCTTCTTAAACGCGTCTCTGTTTCTGTTTCTCTTTCTTATCTTTCTCTTTCATTCATCACAATGTTATTTCTGTTTCCTGGTTTCTCTCCTATTTCATTGAAAGATTGTTATTCTGTTTGCTTTCTTTGATTCCAATTATGGTTTTTTCCTCTTCTTTGTTGCTTCGTTTGGTTAATTGATTCTCTCTCTATATTCCCCTGCTCCTTCTATCCTCTTTCCTCTGCCCTTATTTGTTGGCTTCTCTCAAGAAAAAAACACATTGGTTTTTTTCTCTCTTCGCTCTTCATCAACCCATCTCTCTTCTCTTCTTCCCCCTGGACATGGGTCTCCAGTCCTTCCTTAAACGCAGCAAGAAGCCCCAATCTGAGCCAAACTCGCCGCCGTCTCAGAAACCCACCACCCCAATCAAGCGCCTTCTCCGCCTCTACTCAGACCGAGCCACCCGCTCCTCATCGAGTCCACCTGCGCCCATGCCATCGAACCCACTCTCGCACCACCTTGCCCTTGAACTCGGGCATGTCTTTAACCGCTTTGACGCCAATGGAGATGGCAAGATCTCGTGGTCGGAACTCGGCTCAATCCTAGCGAGTCTTGGTGAAACCGCCTCCGAAGCAGAGCTCCAGCGCATGATTCTCGAGGCGGACTCGGATGGTGATGGTTTCATTGATTTACAGGAGTTTATTGATTTGAACACCAAGGGGGTTGATCGTGCGGCTGAGATTGAGGACTTGAAGGGGGCCTTCATGATCTTTGATCTGGACCGTAACGGGTCGATATCGACGGACGAGCTTCACCGGGTGTTGAGGAGCTTAGGGGAGAGTAGCAGCATGGACGAGTGCCGGAGGATGATCGAGGGTGTGGATTGTGACGGTGATGGGATGATTAGTTTTGAGGAGTTCAAACTGATGATGATGAGGGGAAGGCATCAGAGAGAAAGTGGCATGGTTGCGATTGAGACTGCAATTGAGGTTTGATTTGTTTTCTTTCTTATTTTCTCTACTCTCTGTAAATATTTGAATGGATTAGAGTCCCAATGGCTTTAATTAGTGGGAAGTTGAAAGCATTTAGTTATTTTTATGAGGTTTTTTGAAGAGTTGTTTTATTTAGAGGTACGATGGGATGGTATGCAATGAGATCATTTATTTTTAGTACAAAAATATCACAATTATTTATGATGTGAAATTGAATAGCTTATAGCTTGGGTGTGTCGAGAAAAACTCCGTTGAATATTGAATTTTGTCAATGCAGCGACCCAATTTCATTCACATCTAACAGTCAAAATTACTTGTTACCACATTGTACAAAAAATAAATGGTCTTATTATATACTTTTCCTTGTATAATTCATAAAAATGTAAAACATTTAGGTGTTACTCTCTACACCTCGAAAATCTATGGATTAATGATAAAAATAAATAAATTAGATCATAAATCGTTGATCCAGATCGGATATGATAAAAACCGTGTGCCAATTATTTTGAAGAATCAGCACCATATGAAAATGTTAATGCGGTGATGTTGGATGGTGCACATCATGTCACTTTACGTGGTGGAGGTTTCGAACCCCCACCAACTGACCTGGTGTACTGTATACCACTATACTGAAATATTCTTTTTTCAACATTAGACCTACTCTTTCTTTTGGATGGCTAGGATTACTTCAATCACAATGCAATTTTTAAACCCTAGAAAAAGTTTATATAAGGTTGCAATTTTAAAAGATAGAACTAAGGTGCACTTCAAAAATCCTTCATAAAGGGTTGTTTTGATGTTATAAAACCCTATCTAATTGATTATCTAGGAGACTTATGAATATGAAAAAAAAAAAAGATTTAGAGTTTAAAAAATAGTGTATCTTACGGCACATTATTTGGACGCTCTTTCTTTAAGATTTTTTAGTGTTTATAGATGTAATTGATATGAACCATTTTTGAAATTTAAGATTTAATAATTAGTTATAAAAATAGATTATCAAGCCAAGTGTTTTTTGCATTATTTTTATTATTTTAACGAATCAAAACCACAACAAATTTGGGTCGTGCCATCATTTTACAGGTACACACCAAAACAATATTTGTGACAAAATGAAGTGACAAAATTTCATTTGGGTTGTGGAAAAATTAAGAATAATATACTTTGAGCATCACATCAGATGATGCTCACTTGTAATTGAAGCAAATAGAAAGGTTTCCCTTCTTTAGATGCTTTTATTAACCTTAACAAAAGCGAAATCGCAACATTGAGAGCGAAACTAGCCGTGCAGCGATCTTAATTAGGTTATTTAATTTGCAATGAAATGCATCAAACTTAATCTAATCCCTACCCTCGAGGTTGGGGTGGTAGCACTCCATACCTTAGTTAGTCATCCCGTTGTAGTTTTACTACTTTCATCTCATTAATACCTTCAATAAAAAAATCACTACTTTAGTACATACCCAAATTCCTACACAATCTACACGATTGACTCGGGGTCTTTCGGCAAGTTTTGTGGTACATCCCATTAAGGATGAAGTTTGTATAAAGTTGACACCTTAAACAATCAACGACGTTTGGGCCTTGTTAGCAACTTTTGTTGTACGCCCATTAAGGATGAAGTTTTTATAAGGTGCATTAAACAATCAAATACGCCCATTAAGGATGAAGTTGTTATAAGGTTGGCGCTTTAAACAATCAAAGTAAGCACACACCTAAACATTCAAAGTAAGCACACCCCGAAATGATGTTGAACGATGCAGTCAAGTGCTGGAAATGCCTATGATGCTCTATAGATTTATTTTCATATGTAATTATGAAAATTAAATATATAAAAATAGTGTAGAGTAAGTAGATCATTGAACACTTAAAAATCTTGAAAATTTATATTCCAATTGATACAGTTGAAGATGTACTATTTGCAATGAATTTTGATATGCACTTTATTTGTATAAGGTTGACACCTTATATACACTTTTTCCTATAATTATATAGTAATGCATCCCTTCTGATTTAAACGCATTCAAAGGGCACTCTGGGTAGGGTGCACGCTCATTTTCCATCTCCAAAAGGAAGACTATATTATATATTTTAGGTTTTTTTTTTTTTAAGCTAGGATTGGCATCGACGAGCCGAATACCTTGGCTGAGTGAAGTTTCTCTACTCTGTTCCGACGTTTAGTTGAATAAGCCAAAGAAGATCCATCTCACAAGTCTATTTTTTAAAACAATGCAATAAATTATGAAAAATGTTTGAGACCATTTTACATTTGATGTAAGGAGGTTACATTCATCAACCATTACATTTAAAATCGGGTGGTTGGGGATGCGTCATTTCTTAGGCACAAAGTACAAAACAAAGTTTCTCCAATTTTACTGTTAAAAAAAAGCTTTTCGAATGTTGTTGCATACTTTTATGTATTGTTTTTCTCATCTAATCGTTAAAAGTAATTAAAAAATAAATAGTTTCATAGAATGCAATTCGTAAATTATAACCAACAATGAAAGAAACATTGTGGAGTAGCTTCAATAAGGCCCAAATTAAACGTTGCCCTTTTGTTCTTTCTAAATGAATTTTGCAATGTCCTATTGAGTGAGCTGTTCAACTGAGGAAACAAAACTCCTACTTATACAAGAATAAAAACCCTCGCAAGAATTGCTTTTGAAATCACGCTCATATTATAAGTTGGAGTGTCTTTTGCGCAGATTTTCCGTATTTTAGAAAGGTAAAATGAAATATATTATTAGCCTTTGAAAAATATAAATATATGTTTATATATGGAATTGTATACAATGAACCTTTGGTATACGTCACCATTATTTACGACCATCTTATATGAAATATGATAGTTTGGGAGGATAACAAAGTTCGAAATTTTTTTTTTTTGAACTTTGACCTTGGTCAATGAATTAAATGTAGCCACTCAATTTCACATCCAATGATCAAGATTAATTGTGACCACCATATACCAAAAATAAATGGTCACATTATATATTTTCCTTTTATGTATTTTAATCAATATATGCATGACACTCTGAAACGTAGTCCATACCTAAACTATAAGTCCAATTATAGGAGATTCCCTAAATATTCTATAGAAGCCATTTTACGAGGCTAGTAGGTCACATGTTGAATCAAGAAAAAATATTCATATACTATCTGGGCCGGTGCCTTTAGGGGCCTTTTAAGGATGAAGCCCTAACCCGAGCCCTTAGTAATTTTGAACCATAGTAAACTCTAGGTGAGACCCTAATCTGTACAAAATCCCAAGAGAATTCAAGACACCTTCTAGAAGACTTCTAGATTGGCAAAACTTGAAGATCAGGGAATTAGACTCATCATCTTCTATCTTATCTAGGCACTTTCTAGAAGACGACTTTTAGATTGGCAAAACTTGAAGATCAAGGAATTAGACTCATCATCTTCTATCTTATCTAGGCCTAACAGGACCCAGATTCTATCTTATCTAGGCCCAACAGGCCCCAATTCTGGGTGTTGGGCCAAGATGCCTCGCTTCCTAGGTATTTCTTTTGTTTTGCTTTGTTTCCTTTATTGTAATATTCTCTTTTTCTAAAATCCTCCAAAACTCTTTTCTTGATTTTCAAGAATTTGTTTTCGGTTTTACAGAAATCATAGTTAGCTCGGCTTTTGCCTGTTTCCTTGAGATTTTCAACGATTTGTTTTCGGTTTTACAGAAATCATAGTCAGCTCGGCAGATGGTTTGTGAAGAAAAGATGTTTCGGAATTGATCTTTCATAAACCGTAATTCGATGGAAATTTTCAAATGCTAAGTTCAGACATGAATTGAGGTGAGATAGAGTTGTCAGTTCAAATTTTAGTTTTAGAAAGCCAAGCATGACGTTAAAATGCTCAATTCGAAAAACCCCAATGCAAAAATCCCCAAGTGATAAGAGTAGGATTGTGGTTGACATCTTCATGAGCTTAGATGGGTGGTCTTCATCTGATCATATGATCTTAGGAGTTTAGGTGTCTACTTCTTTAATACCCATCCGTTCATCGAAGAATGAAATGAGTGCCCAAAAAAGACAACTGCAGGCACACATTTCGAAAATGATTTTATTCCAAGATCCCTGAACTCTTTATGACACTAGCCTAATAAACCATAGAACACAATAAACTATATTATATACCTGAACCATATTCCAGCCTAAAATATTTGCTAAACATCCCAAATGCACTACTTCAGGAGAATGGCACCCGCAGGTTGAAGTATGAAAAGAGAGGAATATTGGAAATTACATGAGCATGACTATGGAAGGCATGAACTAACAAAAAAATCCTACAAAAATGGCAAATGTGGGGAATTTTGCACCAACATCTGCCAAAAAGGTCTCAACGATGCACCAAAAAGGTCTCAACGATGCATACTGCAGCACTGAGGGCAATAAGCCGAGTGATGCAAAGCACGTCGATGATCAATAAACCGTCCAAATTCAATCACCATGTTGGCTATGTGATTTAGAGTATTCTTCTTTATAAGTAGAAGACTTTGGGTCTCCTCATGGATCTTTATTTCAAGAACCTAGATTCTAATGCTAAAGAAATCGAAATCCTATGTCTTGGTTATCAAACCCTAAACATCTGCAACTTCAAATCATTTCAGCCATAAAAAGCTTAGAAGTCCCAAGGAAACTTGATCCTTATGCCTTGAAGCACAAACCACTGGGAGTCCCTTCACTAGCCCAAACTTCGAAGGTTCGAGTGATTTCTCTCAAAATAGAAAAATAGAAGCTCAACGCATCAAAAGTTGTCTGGTCTAGGCTCCAACTCCGAGTGTCGGGTCGGTTGGCCCCACTTAAGTTGGAAATTACACTTTTCTTTGATGATTCCTTTTATTACTTAGCTTTATTATTCATTTTTCTTTCTTTCTGATATGTTTTCCGTTTGTTAGTGCCAGCGCTATCGACAATCCATAGAGGAATTTAGTCCTTTAGAATTGGATCAATCTGTGGGTTGTAACATAACAGGACCACCTATTCTTTATCGCCTTTTATTTCTTTAACTCTGTTTAGAGCGGGTGAATTAGCGATAGGTCCAGTAAATAGCTATCCCAGAATTTGCTATAAACGTAGGAAAGAATTTCTTAAGCCTAATTTGTTTCCATGTTCGGTAAACATGTAATGAAAACCTGTTGTAATCAATTTCATATGTTTAGATGTGAGGGT